CAATTCCATTTTTATTGTTGACAAAAGTAATACACATCACATGCCGCTACACTCTTAGAATATCCTTGGGAGGACAGATGAGGGCCCACGAAGAGGCTGCCCTGGGCGGGGGGCTTGGAGGCTGAGACCGAGGCTGAGGGCCTGGGGTGGCCGGGAGATGGATCTTCCACTCTATGTCATTTTGTCCAGCTTGAATGTTTTAACTTGAATGTGGTGAAAACCAACAAAACCTGCTTACAAACCTAACAAATAAAATAAAATAAAATACAAACCCTAGGTTTAGTAAAAGCACTGAAAAAATAACATCTGGGGAATTCCCTGGCAGTCCAGTGGTTAGGACTCCACACTTTCAGTGCTTGAGGGCCCAGGTTCGATCCCTGTTCGGGGAACTACGATCCTGCAAGCGTGTGGCGCAGCCAAAAGAGAAAAAAAAGGAAGAAAAAAAGAAAATGCAGAATAACCATTTATAAATAAATAAATAAATACATAAATAAAATCTGATGCTTGCTGTAACACAAAGAACCTACAGAAAACACACCTGCACCATGTTATTTAATTCCCTAACAACCCTATTTTAGCCCATTTTGCAGATGAGGCACCAGAGGCTCAGACAAAGGTAAGGAAGTTGCTGAAGTTCTTACAGCCAGTAAGCCGCAGAGCCGGCTTCCAGAGCAGGCCTGGCTGCGTCCGGGGGCGGCACTTCTGACCCAGTGCTGTCCTGTCCCCAGATGGTAAGATATTACATTATTGAGCACTCAGTACGTGGCAGCCACTGTTTTAGACCCTTTTCATATTAAACTAATTTACTCTTCCCGACAACTGTAGGATGTATGTATTACAGCTCCCATTTTACAGATGGGGAAACTGAGGCTCCAAGCCGTGAGTTGCCTGCGGGAGGTTCGTCACTTGGTGGATGGGCAGCCCAGACTGGAGCTCTGACTCCAGCGTCTGGTCTTGGGAAGCAGCAGCCTGTCCTGCAGGCAGGCCGGCCAAGGGGTGGTTCCTGGGAAGGACCCTCTATGCCTTAGTTTCCGAGTCTTTAAGGAAGGGCCCATAAATAGAAGATAAAAATATCTGAAAGGATAAACGTTCTACCTCATGCAAAGTGCTTGGCTCAGTGCCTGGTATGTAGTAAGTGCTCAAAAAAAGTTAGTTTTTAAGCTTTTAATCTTTTCTTTTGGCCGCAGGGCATGCGGGACCTTAGTTCCTCCACCAGGGATTGAACCCACGCCCCCTGCAGTGAAAGTTCGGAGTCTTAACCACTGGACTGCTAGGGAATTCCCAGTTTTCAGCTCTTTTGAAACAGGTGGAATGGAACAATCTCTGGTCAAAAAAGAGAGCAAAAGAATAAGAGGAAGAGAGAAAGGAGGGGGGCGAGCAGGAATGAAAGGAAGGAAGGAAGGAAGGAAAGGCAGAGGGAAGGAAGGAGGAAAGAGGGGAAGGCAAGAAGCCCCACTCTGTGCCTCCATGGTAGGCTGGCCCCTTCCACCCTTTGCAGAGCGGGGGAGGGTGGAGCTCCTGCCAACAAGCTCAGGGTCCCTGCCCAGTGTCCAGCTCCGGGTTGCCTCAGGCTTCAGGGCTCAGTTTGCCATCACCGCTGCCCTTCTCATGGCTCGCCTTTCTACCTGGAACCTTTTCCTCTACCTCCTGTGCTCTCGCCTACTCACTCCTTCTCAGCCCCAGCTCCCACCTTGGGCATCACCTCCTCCTGAAGGCTTCCCAGTCCTGGGCTGGCTTAGGTGTCCTCTCAGTTCCCATCACACTTCTTATCATACTGTGTGGGAACTGGCTGTGAGTATTGCATCCAACAACTATCTATAGAATAAATGAATAAATCCATTTATACCAAAATTTCAGAAATTGCTGAAGTGAATCTCACTTCAAGACAGTTGAGGTATTCTCCCATCCATCTAGCCATCCATCCATCCATCCATCCATCCACCATGCTAGTCCCTGGGTATATAAAGTGCTAAAGCTGCCCTGGGCCCTGCCTTGTGGAGCCCACGGTTCCAGACATCAGTCCATCCACCACAGGCACATGTAACTTCCGACTTGGAGTCCTCTGCGTGGTGAAAGGATGGGGATCCAGTGGAAATGTCGCTGCCTCAGGAGCTTTCACAACAGAAAAAAATTTTTTAATTTAATTAATTAATTTCTGGCTGCATTGGGTCTTTGTTGCTGCATGAGGGCTTTCTCTAGTTGCGGCAAGCAGGGGGCTACTCTTCATTGTGGTGAGCGGGCTTCTCATTGTGGTGGCTTCTCTTGTTGTGGAGCACAGCCTCTAGGCACGGGCTTCAGTAGTTGTGGCACGTGGGGTCAGTAGTTGTGGCTCGCGGGCTCTAGAGTGCAGGCTCAGTAGTTGTGGCGCAAGGGTTTAGCTGCTCTGCAGCATGTGGGATCTTCCAGGACCAGGGCTCGAACCTTGTCTCCTGCATTGGCAGGCGGATTCTTAACCACTGTGCCACCAGGGAAGCCCCTTCAGCAAATATTTATTGAGTCCCTATGATGGCGGGAGGAGGGGGAAGCAAGCGTTGGGCTGGGGCTACAACAGCAGATCAAATAGAGACAAGCTCTCTGCTCTTACGATTGGACATCCACCAGAGCTCCAAGACGGGCCAGCCACGGGGGCCCTTATTACTATTACTATGATTACTATTATTAGTATAAACTGGGGCCCACAGGAGGAAATGCAAATGGTGTACAGAGGTGAGTGCATTTCCCTCCCACCCCTGTCTTCCTGTCTGGAAACAAATCTCATTGCCAATTAGGTGTGCATAAGGAGATATTTTAGACACATACACACAATTACATGTATTTCTTATTTAACCCCAATGGTGGCATTTTGTACACACAGTCTGGTACCTCGCTCTTTTCACTTGGTTTATCACGTTGATGGTTCCTTACCAGTTCATACAGAGCTGCCTTGTTTTGCAAGATGTCCCTTTGTGGGTGATGCTCAGGTAATTCTTCCTGTTCTGATGCGGTTTAGGGTGTTTCCAGTCTCCAGTGGATATAAGCAAGGCAGCGGGGAGCACACCTGTTCACAGGCCATTTCACATGGGTATTTATTTGCAGATTCCCGGAACCAGAGTTTTGTCCCTGCAGTCTACATGAACAGGCCTGCTGGGGGTGGGGACGGTGCTTTACATGGAGTGTTCAAGGAGTCTCACTGAGGAGGTGACACTGGGGCTAAAGGGCTGGGAGGGATCATGTAAAGCTCCCAGGACTGGGCCTCAGCAACATTTACTGAGATGCGAGAAGACTCAATATTACGACTTTTGTGCAAGTAAGACCCAGAAAGTCAGTCACAGGGAAGGAAAACCCGTGGAAGCTGCCCTCGGCTTCTTTTAGCTGGGACCCCTGCGGCCGACCCTCCCCTGGAGGTGGCCGGTCTTGGAGCTCCAGTGGATGTCCAGCTCAGGATGAATTTCATACTGGTTCTGAAGCCGGACACCTCCAGATGCCCTGTCACAGTAGGACAAGGAATCAGAGGAATGGGCACACTGAGGGCGGCTGGCCTTGTTTGCTCAGAATTAAAAATTCCTCAAGCTTACAGTTCAGAGAAGGTGGAGGTGGGGCGAGCCCAAGGGTGGGGCTCATTAGAACTTTATTGACTGTCAACAGTGGAAGGAACCTTAGAGGTCATTGGCTAAACCACTGATTTGGAAAAACAAAATTTGTTTAAATGGTAAATTCCTTTGATGCCCTTGAAGTTATTTGAAAGAATTACAATAATAACAAGTATTGTTTATTTATCACTTATTATGCAGCAGGGTCTAGGCCAAAAGTTTTACATCCATTATTTCTTTTCAATCTTCCAAATAACCCTCCAGGGAGATACTATCTTTATCTGTGCAGTAAGTGAGGCTGAGGGTGGTGGCCTCGAGTCCCCTGGCTGAGATGGGGTCCCGGCTGCCTCCCTCTGACTCTGGGAAATGGGATTGGAAACTCCCAGGTCTTGTTTTTCCAACCTCCTGTTTACGGTTGACAAAAGTGAGAACCAACCAGGAGGATTCATTGTGTGACCAAGAGACAAAGTTAAGAGAAAGTTAAAGATCGTGGAAGTACAATTCCTGGCCCAAGAGAGTGCACACATCTCTGTGGTTTTGATGATCCCACCTGCCATATTGGCCCGCAGAGAGAATGGTCCAAGAAACACCCACCAGCACGATACAAGGGCTGGGTCTCCAGCTGTTTGCCAAATTGGAGTGCTGTATTCTTAATTTTTCTAGTCTGATGGGTAGAAAAATACCCCGTGATTACAATGAATGCATTTTAAAGAAACCTACCAAATGTTGGTGGGCCACACTCACCCTCCTCCCCAGTGATCTACAATATGGGGCTTCAGGTTCTGCTTTCCCTCTATTTTATTTTTAGTATAAATTTATTCATTTGTTCATCTTTGAACTCAATAGTGCTGTGTGCCAGGCACTGTTCTAGGTGCTGGGGACACTTCAGAAAATTTCCCTTAGATCCGTCAGATGGAATACAGCCCTGCCTGCATCTTGATTCCATACTTCTAGTCTCCAGAAAGGTTAAATTCTGTTGTGGCTTCTATCTATGCTTAAAAGTCGATAAGAGTTGGGATGTATTTTGAAGGCAGAACCAAGAGGATTTGCTGATGGGTGGGATGTGATGTGGGAGAGAACTGGAGGAGTCCAGGCTGGTCCAAGGTTTTTGTTCTCAGTGTCTGGAAGGATGACTGGGAATCAGGAGCAGGTTTAGGAAAGAAGATCACGGGCTCCTCTTTGGAGAGACTGAGTCTAAAGTGACTATCAGACATCCAAATAGAGGCCATCATGCATAAGTTCCCACCTGCCCTTTATTTTGATTATTTTTTTGCTTGAGGATATTTCTTTTTTATTTCTTTTTATTATTTCTTTTTTTTTTTTTGTGGTACGCGGGCCTCTCACTGTTGTGGCCTCTCCCGTTGCGGAGCACAGGCTCCGGACGCGCAGGCTCAGCGGCCATGGCTCACGGGCCCAGCCGCTCTGCGGCATGTGGGATCTTCCCGGACCGGGGCACGAACCCATGTCCCCTGCATCGGCAGGCGGACTCCCAACCACTGCGCCACCAGGGAAGCCCGAGGATATTTCTTGTAGATCTTTACAAGGCGGTACATAAAGAAGTGCCTCGCTCTTGTTCGTAGCTGTATAGTATTCCGTTGTATGGATGAACCGTTTATCCTATCATATGGAAGGACCAGAACTGGGCATGTTTTCAAGTGATTGGATGAATCAAATTACGTATGATGGTTTGTTCTTCCATGACAAACATTTTTTTGAGTGTTTACTGTGTGCTTGTGCCTGTGAGGAATCTGAGAGCAATAACTTCATCAGGGAGGTACTTTGATGCAGTGGGGGAGGGGCTGCAGCTTCAGATCCACACTCTGTGAAATGGGTTGTTGTGTTATCTAGAGAAATAACCGACACGAAGCCCCTAAAACAGTATTTTGACGTAGGCACCCAACATGTGATATCACCTGCTACCATTTCTTATATAACCATGTCCCAGAGGCTCGAGAGGTGCAGGGTGTTTTGTAAATACGAGTCCCATCTTCCTTGAAAAATCACTTATGTGGTCCAACAGCTCCATTTTGGAGATTCACAGTCCTCTTTAATGCACCAAAGGCTCTGATAAATCCTGCAGTAAAGAAACTTTTGTTTAACCCACTGTTGTGAGAAATGCTGGCTTTGGTTGACACATCAGAGATCAGACAAACATCACAAAAAAACAGGTTTGTGTCAACTTTTCAATGAGTGATGCCTCTCTTAGGTGTAACCTCTTGTCTTGTTCTTTTGACTCTGAAGGTTTTCCTCCGTTTTGGACTTGAAGACAGTGCAATAGTCTCTGTCTGATCACTACACACGATCTCTGGGGGAGGCCCCAGCCGTCCGCTGTCAGGCCTGGACTCACCCCATGAGGCACCAGGGTACAGTATGCAAATTAAATAGCACCCGGTATGTGACTTAAGTAGCACCCCACCAAGAGACCTCCCTCCCATGGAAAACCGGACCTACCCTGGGTCTTTCATGAGAACATTTTTACCCTGGGGCTGCCCGAGGTTTAGCTTCTGGAGTTACAGTATAAAAGGGAATGGCTTTAAAAACCTCAATGCAACTTCTTGGGTGATGGAAATGTTTTAAAACTGGATAGTGGCAATGATGACGGGACTCCAAAAGTTACTGAAAGCCACAGCACTGGGTACGTGCAGTGGGTGACTTTGGTGGTATGGAAGTTATACCTTTATAAAGTTGTTTTTATAAAAGAAGGCAAAAAGAGAAAGACCCAACAATCTCTAGTCCTGAGTCTGTGGAAGGGGTCGTGTTTCCTCTGCAAGTTACACATGGGCTTTTCACAGGGCAGAACATGTGCCATGCCACAGGTGGGCTGGAGAGGGCGTTCCGGAGTTTCTCCTGCAAATGGATGAATTCATGGCTTAGGTGGTGGGAGCTTCTGCCCACGTAGAGCTGACCAGATCAAATGTCCACCCCCAAAGGGCATGATCACCTCGCAGCCAGAAGCACTTTGGCCAGCTGCTTGCGCTGTGATTTGTGGTTGACTTTGCTGGGTGGTGGTTTCTGAGGAAGGACAATTACACTGATTGAGCCTTTCAGGAAATGGTCCCTGAAGAGAGGTAAGAAGACCTTAATTATGGCCCTGGCTGCCAATTAGAGTGAGATCCCGAGTTTATGAATCCAAGAAAGTCTCACCAGACTTCTGCTGCTCCTTGGCTTTTAGCTCCAGAACATGTACAAGGGAAGATGGGTTCTAGAATTTACGGTATCGGCTCCCAACTTTGTCTGTAGTTTCTTTTGAAATCATTTAGCTGCTTGTCCTTAAAGAATTTCTAACTGTGATGTAGGAGAAGAGTTTCCAGTTTATGTTCTCTTAAAGGGACTCAAATTTCTCCCTTCCTTTCTCCCTCTTACGAACCCACTTACGTTTCTAGACACCTACTGTGTGCCAGGCCCAGTGTGGGCACAGGGATGCACCCTGGAAACCAGACAGGCTCTTTCTCACCTCCGTGGAGATTCTAGCCCAGTGAGGATATATAGCCCACACCAGCCCCTGCCCTCCCTCTGCCCTTTGCCGTGTGACCTGTGACAAGGGGCGGACCCTGCCCCACTCATGGCAAAGCGCTCAGACTGTTCTGCCTGACCCTGGAATTTTGAAATCACGTTTCAGTAAGTCTCTATGGACCCCACTCTATCGTTTCTGCATTTATAAGATATTTATTGAGCACCTACTATGTGCCAGCTCATTTATAGCATATGCTGATGAATCAGGTAAACCTGGTCTCTGCCACAGAGGTGATGGTCTAGCGATGACAATTGTCACCGGTGCCCTTTGCCCCCATGGGATCCTCCCAGTGACTCATCTCAGGGGTGGGCACCATCTTGTTTCCATTTCACAGGCGCCGTCATCAAACGGTGGGTGGGAGCCGGCGTCCCACCAGCCCAGCCTCCTGTCGCTTCCATCTGGTTGCTGACCACCGACTTGTAGTCCCTGAACCTCAGCAGCTGAGGCCGAGGGTGATCTGTGTGGACGCCACCCTCCAACCCCCACTCAGAAAAGCTGGAGAACCCTCCTGCATTTCAAGGTCATTTCCATAAGAAGTGAAAATCCGATCTGAGCTGGCCCTGCCTAGTGATTTACAATTCCCCAAACAGGGCGGTCCCACCTAGTCTTGTTGTCTCCTTTCTGATCCACTCAACCCTCTACCCCCACCACGCCCCACCTCAGTTCCTGTTTATTGCTATGGACTTGTGACAGCGAAGGGCCTCAAACAACAGAGAAATGTAATAAAAAAACCCCAAAACGTTAAGGAATATTATGATAGCGTCTAAAAGTTCACATTGAACAAGCAGACTTTTTTTTAGACAGACAAACGCAATGTAATGTACTTGTATCGTTCAAAAATGGATTGACTAAAAGGAGAGCTGTTAAGAGAAGGGATCTGGAATCGGGATGAGCCTGGACCCAATGCCTGCCTCTGTCACATCATAGCTGTGCCACTTGGGTAAGTAAATGAGCTGCCAGCCTCAGTTTCCCTGTTGGTCCCATGGAGAGTTGGTGAGGTTTCCTGAGGCAATGCAGGTCCAGTGCTGTGAGCGGTGCCTGTCCCGTAGAGGGGCTCTGTCTGTGGGTTTTATCTGAGGCAGTGCCGGTGGGCAGTGCCACGTGGGACCCAGTATGCAGCCCCATGTGGGACCCAGTGTGCAGCCGTGGATGGCGTTTCCCGTGTGTGCACCTTGGTGTCAGCAGGGATACTCGCACTTGGAGGGGGTCCAGACTCAGGGTTTGAGGCTGGTGGTGAAAGTACAGCCTCGTGGGGTCAGGGGGTGGGGGGTGGGGTGCCTGCTCTGCCGTCCTCCTTGGAGAAGCCTTCTAGGACCCTTCCAGGTGCGCTTGACCAGTCATGACTTTGCCCCGGCCGAAATAGAGGTAACAGCAGGACACTTTGCAACGGAGTTGATTGCATTCTCATCCTGGAGATGGGATAGTGACGTCCAGGGGGTCAGAGGCCACATTTTATCCATCTTTGTGCCGCTCCCGTCCAGCCCAGTGCCCAGTGATTGGATAGCAATGCTGGGGTCAGACTGCCTGGGTTTGAGTTTCAACTCCTCTACTTACCAGCTGTGTGCTCCTGGGCAAGTTACTTAACCTCTCTGCGCCCTGTTTCCTCATTGGGAATAGTAGTAATAGTAGTCCTCGAATGAAAGGATGATTTTGAGGAGGAATGAAGGTCTCGCATGTACCTTCCACTCTGCGTGGCACGCAGTAGGCATTCATTCCTTCATGGACCCATTCAGCACATGCTCATTCTCTGCCATGTATACACCAGGTCTTCTAAATGATGGGAGTCAACAGAGAACAGCTAGACAAAGATCCCTTCCCCTCCCAGAACTTCTATTCTAGCTGGGCTGCGAACAAATAAATAAACAAGCGAAATAGATAGCACGTTAGATAATGATGAATGCAATGGAGAAAAAGAAAATGAGAAAGAGGAGGCCACCCTCAGCGAGAGGGTGATGTTATGACGATGATTAATCTGTAAAGAGCAGGTATTCTACACAAGACGGGGAAGCAGTGAATCTGGGCTCATTTCTATGTTTCAGTGAAGTGGCATTAAGGTAGGGGAGTGGGAAGTGGGGGGGTAAATTAAGGGAATATTTTCTCCAAATGACCTAATAAAGTTGCTTTTCCTCCAGACATGTAAGAGGAAGGCTCAAGCTCCCACCCACTTTGGGCTGCTCCAGGAAGGTGGAAGTGATAGGTGATTCAGCACCCACCCTGGCGGACCCTAGAATTCTGCTCTTACAGCTAGATTTGCCTCTTGGGGAGAGCGTTGGACCCCCAGAGGGTGGGTCTGGCCAAGGTCAAAGCTTATGCAGAATCCTCATGATAGATGCCACCGAGACTGGGTCATTTGATGATTTCTTGTCATTCTTCTATGGACTTAGTTTAAAAATGTGCTTATTTTATGAATGCTCTCTCCTCCACTGCTTATGGGGAAGACACACTGCAGAATGAACTATCACATCAGTAGAAAATGTTCTGTTCATCTTGGTCCCACTGAGCCTAGCATATGGGCAAAGCAGCTACTGTATGCTAACTACCATTAGATGCTTACCACTTCATTCATTCATTCATCCATTCAGTAGACTTTTGTCTGCTGTCATGTACCCAGCATTATTTAGGCAAACCCCTATGATCCAGGGGTCCACAGACAGTAAACAAGTAAATGGTCAAATACAATGAAAGCACAGCCCATCTAGAGTTCTATGAAGGAAATAGAGAATGATGGTGGACGTTGGGCAGTGTCGACCAGGTGGAGGTGCCATTTGAGTTGACACTTGAAGGATGACAAAGAGCTGCCATGGGAGGATGCGGGAGGAGCATCTGGCAGAGGGAACAGCATTTGCAAAAGTGCTGAGATGGGAACAAACCCTGGCATGAACGAGAAGTTTAGGGAAAGCCAAGGTGGCTGGGCTGGTGGCACAAGGGAGCCAGTGGTGCGGACCAGGCTTGAGCAGGGCTTGATCAGGCAGCGCCTTGCAGCCCGAGGTACGAGATCTGGAGTTAATTCTGAGAGCACTGGGTAGCTTCTGGAGGGTTATGTTTTCAGATCACTACTCTCGGGCAGAGGATGGACAGGAAGGGGTCGGGAGATCAGGGAGGAGGCCCTTCGGTGCTTCCGTGAGAGGAGCAAGGATGGGGCTGGGGGTGCTGGTGGTGGACACAGTGGGTTTAATGGTGGCCCCCCAAAGAAACGTCTACGTCCTGATACCTGTACCTTGTGATTGTGACCTTATTTGGAAAAAGTCTTTGCAGATGTAATTAAGTTAGAGATCTCTAGATGAGATCATCCTGCTTAACCAGATGGGCTGTAAATCCAATGACATGTGTCCTTATAAGGGACAGAAGAGGAGAAAACACAGACACATGAAGAGGAGGAGGTCCTGTGGCCATGGAGACGGAGATTGGGGTGATGCAGCCACAAGCCAAGAACATCTGGATACACCAGAAGCTGCAAGTGGCACGGAGGGATCCTCCCCTAGAGCCGTCAGAGGGAGCACAGCCCTGCCGACACCTTGATCTCAGACTTCTGGGCTCCAAAACGTCCGTTGTGTTAAGCTGCCCAGTTTATGTTAATTTCCTGAGCCGCCCCAGGAAACCAATATGGTGTGAAAATGGTAGGAGTGACAGGATAGCAGTTACATTGCCTCAAAGTACCTTCTCACAGGGGGAACGTAACTTGACGGTGGAGATGCCCGGCCGATACCACTTTGACCGAGGGACCAAAGTTAACCTCGCCCGTAATGTCACCTTACCCAAGGAGGGTCCTCCTGCCCGGTGTTGCTGGAGCCAATAGAATGAGACCGAGTTCAGTTCAGAAGCCAAGGAAAGTTTTATTCTTTGACCAAAGCATGGAGAGGACTGAACCCATGCTCTAGAGCACAGGCTCCCCTCGACCCGACCCAGGCCGTGGGCGGGGCTGCTTCCTAGGGATCTCTGCGCGCGGAGGGGCGGGGGCGGGGCTTCTGCGCGGCCCGCAGAGCTGAGCGGCCAGGCGCCTGCGCAGCCCTCTTGCGCAAGGAACCCTGGTCTGAAGGGGTGGGCGTCTGGCCTCTGCGTGACGCGCCGTGTGAGCCAGTGACAGCGGACGAAGCAGAAACGAGAAAAAAAGGTTAGACTTGACTCTTATTACCCAGATTCTAGTTTTATTTCCTGGGACTTGTTAGTGGGCTTTGCTGGTGACAGTGACAGACTCATGTATGGTACTGCCTCCCGGTGGGATGGGACAGGACGGGATAGGCGCCCGTCTGGGGCCGGAACCAAACTGCACCCCGAACTGCTTCCTCCGGGGAGTCGGTGGGAACCCTTGTCCTCATCTTCATCTTCGCCTTGCGCAGAGGCTCAGGCCAATCTCAGACATCTGGGGCCGAGGTCAGGCCCAGGCCAGACGCCCAAAGTTCACTGTCAGTAACAGAGGTGCAGAGAGGAGCGGCCTTGAAGCTTGTGGCGCAGGGGCTGCCTTGCGTGTGCTCCGACCGAGTGCTTCCTAACTACCTTGCCAGTGTGCCACAAGTGACGAAAACAGACCCAGAGCACGACCGCCAGTTTCCAGGCCCACACAGACAGTAGGAGGCAGAGCTGCGTGTCTCACCAAGTCGGGATTTTGCCCTAAAACCTGTGCTCCTTGGCCTAAAACCTGCCCTGGGCCCTTTGAAAGGAGGAATTCTCAAAGAGCTTTTCCTTCTTGAAGCTGCATTAGGGCTGTTAGGATAAGAAGGTATTATGTGCAGCTGGGAGTGAATCCGCTAGAGATTTCTCTTCAGAAACTGGAGATGGGGCTGCAGGGGAGAATCCGATGGTTAGATGATGTAAGGAAAAATACTAGTAAATTTAAGCACTAGAGCGATAATGAAAAGGGCTTTCCTTCCAATCGTAGGCTGCTTACTTGATGCCGGGAACTCTGCCACGTAGTTTTGACACATTATCTTTGTGTGGTTTTTTTTTTTTTTTTTTTTGCGGTACGCGGGCCTCTCACCGTTGCGGCCTCTCCCGTTGCGGAGCACAGGCTCCGGACGCGCAGGCTCAGTGGCCATGGCTCACGGGCGCAGCCGCTCCGCGGCATGTGGGATCTTCCCGGACCAGGGCATGAACCCGTGTCCCCTGCATCGGCAGGCGGATTCTCAACCACTGCGCCACCAGGGAAGCCCTATCTTTGTGTTTTTAATATTTCAATCACTTTCAGCATTTAAGCTACATCCAACTCCCACCAGAAGTAATGTTTCCCCTGCGGGTGAGAAGAACACTCCAGGTCATGTGTAGCTGCTCTGTTCATATTAATAATGTCCATGAGATGCCAGCTTAGGTGTGCCAGGAATATATATACACATACACATATATAAGACAGACTTTATAGATATGTACATATAGTCATATATACAGTCATAAATATAGTCATATATATACAGTCATATATATGACAGACATATATACAGTTACATATATAGTCATATAAACAGACAGATATAGGCTTATATATACAGTCAGATGTATGGCAGACTTTTATATATGTATAGTGTGTATATATATACATATATCTATTTGTATATTCATATATATATAATAGACTTCCTGCCTCTGAGCCATGGGCCATGTGGAGGAGGGGACGTTGCCATGGGAAGGGGTGGATGGTAGTGATCACATTGGCTTTGCTTTGGGCTCACTGTGCAAAAGGCACGGAGCTAAGCCTTTTGCACACATTTTCTTATTTAATGTCCCCCTGCCCTAAAACTTAGGAGACACAACTCTCACTCCTGCACTAGGCTGGAAGCTCCTGGGCACAGAGGCATTTCCTGGACAGTTCACTGCTGTGCCTAGAACAGAACCCGGCATGTCATGAGCGCCCAGCACATGTCTGGAGGAATGAATTATACTGAATTAAGTATTTGTCGAATCAAGACGTGTTTCCACCCCCAAGTACACACGGCCAGGAAGTGGAGGAAAGTGAGCAAGGCCTGTGGATCTGCTCAGGCTCACTGGAGCCTGCTCCCCTCTTTCCCACGTGGGGCAGGCGGGAGGGCAGCCAGGCAGGGGCGGGGATACAGCCCCTCCCTCGTGGCTGGGGCGGTGGTGCAGTGGGTGCGGACACGTGGGGTTATGAGGGTTTACCTTTCAGCCACTGGCTTAGAATTCCCAGGACGTGCAGAGACCTGGGCCCGGAGGAAGCGTGGGTGTCAGGAGAGGACCTTTGGCTTGGGAGGGGTCATTCTTTTGCAGAGTCTAGTCCTCGTGGAGCTGTATGCACGGTGAGCCTCCCAGGCCCACAGATGAGTCAGAATACGTTTCTTCCTTTAAGGGGCTTATTCATTGGAGGGGGTGGACACCACACTGGACTATGTTTAATTCAAAAATTTTCTAGATTATAAAAAGAAATTAGTGTAGTAAGAAGTTTCCAACAGAACAAAAGGGAAATGTTTGCTGAAAAGTAGGTTTTGTTGTTCTCCCGGACCACCTTCCCTCTCCTGGGGGTGCTGTTACCTGGTAATGCTTTCCTTCCAGAAAGTCTGTGCAAATGTGTGGTATAGACCCTTTGTAGCTTTGTACTTTACACACTCTTGTGCACCTTATCTTTTTTCTTTCCTTAAAATAATAGCACGTATAGCCCTCTGGCATCATTTTTCATGGCGGTATACTACTCCAGTGTGCACGTGTACCATGGTATATTTAACATTTAACCTTGGTGCTGTTCTACTTCCTTTGCTATCACAAATTATGCTGCAAAGAACCTACCTGAATACTCATCTTTCTGAACATGTGGAAGAACATACGTACATTCTATCATATATCTGTATATAATATAGAAGTAGAGGGTCTTCCGTGGTGGTGCAGTGGTTAAGAATCCGCCTGCCAATGCAGGGGACACGGGTTCGAGCCCTGGTCAGGGAAGATCCCGCATGCCACGGAGCAACAAAGCCCGTGCACCACAATTACTGAGCCTGCGCTCTAGAGCCTGCGAGCCGCAACTACTGAGCCCACGTGCCACAACTACCGAAGCCCGTGTGCCTAGAGCCCATGTTCTGCAACAAGAGAAGCCACTGCAGTGAGAAGCCCACGCACTACAACAAAGAGTAGCCCCTGCTCTCCACAACTAGAGAAAGCCCATGCGCAGCAACGAAGACCCAACACAGCCAAAAAAATAAAAACAAACAAATAAATAAATTTATAAAAAAATATATATATAGAAGTAGAATTCCTAGAATAAAGGGTATGATTTTTGAAATCTACTGTAGTTATTACCAAATTACGCTTCTAAAATATTGTATCAATGTTTATTATCACAAATCTGATGATTCTTTTCCCATATTTATAAACACTGTGTTATCATACTTTTCATTTATTTATTTATTTACTTACTTGGCGGTGCCGGGTCTTAGTTGCAGCATGCGGGATCTTTGTTGCGGCATATGGGGTCTTTAGTTGCGGCATGCGGGATCTAATTCCCTGACCAGGGATTGAACCCGGGCCTCCTGCATTGGGAGCACAGAGTCTTGGCCACTGGGCCACCAGGGAAGTCCCTCAAACTTTTTGCTATCTGTAAATCTGATAGCTAAAAATGACATTTCCTTGTTTATATTGACATTCCTTTAATTACGTGGTTGAGCATTTTTTTCACGTATGTGTTTTTATTTTTATGTGAACTGCCTTTTCATATCCTTTGCTCTTTTTTTTCCTATTGCCTTGTCTTCTTAACATTGATTTGTAAGAGGCTTATATTAATGGTTTGCCTGTCATACCACTTTGGATTATACAAGTCTGGGTCGGGGTCTTAGTGTAGTGATAGACATAAGTCCAGAATAATGTGGGAACAAAGACAAGGGTCCCATGATGTTGAGTGAGTTTATATAAGTCAGGAGAGACTTTTGGGAGGAAATGATATGGAGATGAATCTTTTTTTTTTTTTTTTTTTTGCTGCGCCGTGCAGCATGTTGGATCTTAGTTCTCTGACCAGGGATGGAACCTATGCCCCTTGCAGTGGAAGCGTGGAGTCTTAACTACTGGACTGCTAGGGAAATCCTGGAGATGAGTCTTAAAGGATGTGATGAAGGAAGAAGATGTATCAGAAGAGTAGATTACATATGCAGAATGTCATGGCAGGAAATTGTGTGTGTGTTGGTGGGAGGTTGGGGGAATTATAAATAACTCTGTCTTCTGAAAGTAGAGTGCTTGGAGGGGTTTTGTGTGTCGGCGAGAGATGGCATTGGAGTAACGGAGTGTTGGTTCACTTTCCTGTGGGCAACAGGAAGACATAGAAGGGGTTCTAAGCAAACGATCAGATGAGCAAATTTGTGTTTTAAGAACTCTACTTGTTGTTTTGTAGCATGGATTGTAGGAGAACAAGATTAGAGAAGGAAAACCAGTTAGGAGGCTATTGTAGCAATTTGGAAGAGGAGATAGTGGGCCAGGCTAGGGCAGTGAGCATAGACGAGGGTGACATGGACACTCTTGAAAGCCCTTCATGTTTGGGAGGTAGGATTGGCAGAATGGGTGACTGAGTAGCTGTGGAAAACTGTGATTCATAGACAGTTCCTCTGTGAGCAGTGGGGGTTTAGAAGAGATGGATGTCGGTGGGGATGAGAAGAGGTGAGAATGGGGTGTGCTGAGTTGGGCAGAGGATGTTCTTGGATTCTATACACAGTGGATGTTCCAAAGATCGCTGACCCTTGATTAGACGTCCTTTGGGGTGTCTGCCCAGCCCACACCCCCTTCTCTGAGCTGACCCTTCTCTCCACGGGTGTGGGCTCTTATTGCCAGGTGACCCTGCCTCTCCATGGCTACCTGGAACAGTGCTTGGCTACATGACCCAGAGGACACCAGTTGGAGCTTCTTTCCCTGGAATTTGGAATTTGAACTGGGAAAGATGCTGTGGGACCAGGGCTCACCTGACTTGTCCAGTGCACTCTGGGGCTGTGTCTGCGCCCTGCATGACTGCCACAGGGGAAGTGGACTCTCAGAGAGGGGGTAAAGCAGCGTTCCTGGACAGAGGAGCAGGGATGTCCGGCTCAACGGAGCAGATTGAGCCCCCGCGGTTGTCACCACTCCCTCCACAAAGCTCGCTAACAGGGCAGCACAGGAATGAAGAGGCATTCCCAGGACAGACCAGAGAGGAGACGGCACGAGAGACCTCAGAGTGATTGGAAGCAGGAGAGCCAATGGACAGATGGCAACTGGCAGAGAATTCCATGAAGTTCTAAGTCTGGGGCAGCGGAGAGAGTGAGCACATTCCTGCCAGAGAGCCCCAGGAATGGTAAAAAATGGGAGATATCAGGGACTCCCTGGGGTGAGAAGGAAAAATGGAGGATTGGTGGACAGATTTTACAAGGACAGACTTTAGACCCAAGATCTTCGCCATCACTTAGTGCAGCTGGGCATCTGCCCCTTCCCATCCCAGACGAGAGGTTTCCTTTGTTTAATTTCTTTATTTATTATATTTTTGGCCGCTTCGCAGCGGCATGTGGGATTCCCCAACCAGGGATCGAACCCATGCCCCCTGCATTGGAAGGGTGGAGTCTTAACCACTGGACCGCCAGGGAAGTTCCAAGAGGTTTCCTTTGAAGGTTGGCACTAGAGGACCTAGACCCACAGATCCCAACCTAACCAGGGCCGCAGGTCATGCACTGAAAACAGGGAGTTTGCAGGAATGTTTATTTATGGAGCACTGAAATGTTCAGTGTCTCCTCAACTCTGCTTCCAGAATCCTAGCAGCCAGGGGCCAATGTCTGGAGGGTTTTTCTCAGGTAGGGTTGGTTGACAGATAAAATGCGGTTGCCCAGTTATTGTACATTGAATTTCAGATAAGCGACAAACACTTGTTTGGTATAAATGTGCCTCAAATGTTGCAAATTTTTATTGGTAAAATCTGGCAGTGCTGTTCAGGAGAAACTAAGAGGCCAAGAGACAAGTCCTGGAGGTTTCCTCCCCAGCGAAGTGACTTGGGACCTTGGACCCCTACTGGGGTGCCTGTGGGTAGATACTCTTTCCCTGTCCAGCAGCATTTGAATCTCACTCGTAAATGTGAAGAAATAGCCAAGATCACCTGACGTTAGAGGGAAGGTTCCCAGATGAAAGACAGTGATGAACACCAACAGGAAAAGGAATTCTGAGGATGTAGGGACACTTCAGAGAGCAGAGAGCTTCAGAGAAGCAGAGATAAGAGACGAGCCCCCAGGGTGACCCTTGCTGGCTTCCCAGTTTTCAGTTCCTACGGAGCCCCTGCCCTTCCCATCCCTGGCTTCTGTAGTCCTCTATCTGCCAAAGAGCCACCTGGGCGCTTAACATGCTGTGAATTTGCCTCCTTCCTTTCTGACCAAAGGGTTCTTCTGTCCTGAGGAAAAATCACTCCCATCCAGGATGTGCCTGCCCTGGCCCCTCATCTTGCTGACCGCAGGCAGCTTGGAGGAAGAGGTCTCCCCTGGGTTAGCAGTCGACCCAGTGTCTCTGCCAAGTGACCCTGGCAGCTGCAGCCTCCCCGTGCCCTCGGGGAACCAGGGCCAAGTCCTAAAGGCTCCATCTGAGGCTGGCCCAGGTCCTGGCTGCCCTCTCCGCTTGCAGGGGATGGAGCCCGTTGGCTCTGCTTCTCAAGTGGGAGCCGGGAGCCGACACTTGGTTTGTGCCCTCTCTCCTTCCCTGAACCAGGCAGAGCTCGTGCTCCTTTGCATCTTCTCCTCTCCTCCCCTGTCCAAAAGCTCTGGGAGGGCTTTTTTTTTTTTAATAAAGACTTTATTTTTTTAATAAATTTATTTATTTTTGGCTGCACTGGGTCTTCATTGCTGTGTGCGGGCTTTCTCTAGTTGCGGCGAGTGGGGGCTACTCTTCGTTGCAGTGCATGGGCTTCTCATTGCGGTGGCTTCTCTTGTTGCAGAGCACGGGCTCTGGGCGCACGGGCTTCAGTAGCTGTGGCTTGCGGGCTCAGTTGCTCCACGGCATGTGGGATCTTCGGAGGAAGCCCCCGAATGTAACAATTTTTAAGCATCTGAACAGCAGTTGTGAACATTCGCTCAATTCAATTGCTCCACGTTTATGAAGCATTTCCTCTCTGCCTGTGGAATTTAGTCCTTTCTTTTTTGTAACTAGCATAGATTTATTTTCTAGGTTCCAATGGCTAATATTAATGGTTTCATTAATAGATAAAAAAGAATGAGGTCATTTTGGTAACACAAACGTTTGAAATATGGGTTTGAAGATCAGGTGATCAGCAAATCATCATAAAGTTGATGTTGTTTGTCATCAACACCAGGGCATTTTAAAAATTAATTAATTAATTAATTAATTTTTGGCTGTGTTGGGTCTTCATTGCTACTGTGCGCGGGCTTTCTCTAGTTGCGACGAGCCGGGGCTACTCTTTGTTGCGGTGTGCAGGCTTCTCATTGCGGTGGCTTCTCGTTGCGGAACACGGGCTCTCGGCGAGTGGGCTTCAGTAGTTGTGGCTCGTGGGCTCTAGAGCGCAGGCTCAGTAGTTGTTCCAGGGCTGGAACCTGTGTCCCCTGCATTGGCAGGTGGATTCTTAACCACTGTGCCACCAAGGAAGTCCCTCTGCATTTGTTTTCATGGTGAGAACAAGAGAGGAAATCTGATTCACACAATGAGTGACAGGGGTTTTTCTTTTTGCGGTTGTTTCATTTTGTTTGTTTGTTTATTTTTAGCTTGCTTTCCAACAGTAGTTCTCAACCTTGGCTCACCTAGGGCAGGGGTTGGCAAACTACAAAATCCAGCTGCAGCCTGCTTTTGTAAATAAAGTTTTATTGGAACACAGCCACAGCACATTGTCTACGCTCCTTCAGCGCACTGCCTGTGCAGAGCTGAGTAGCTGCAGTAGAGGCGGTATTTGGCCCTGTATAGAGAAAGTTTGCTGACCCCTGACTTGAGGAACGCCGGTGTCCCTCTCCCCAGAGGCTGACTTAATTGCCCTGGGTCGGGGTTGGGTGGGGTAGCCTGAGCACACTAGGAGACTTAAAAGTGCCTTAGAGGAAGCTCCTGTGCAGTTAGCACTGGGGAAAAGATGAGGCCCGAGCAGTGAGGCAGGGGCAGCCTATGTCGAGGGCCTGGAAGAGGATTCCAGGCAGAGGGACGAGTACGACTGAGGACCCCGCTAGGGAGACCGCGTCGGGGGTAACGGCACCCAGGCGGCTGGGGCGTGGGGAGCTCAGGGAGGTTCAGAGGAAGCTGGCCGGGGTGGGGTGGGGGAGTTCTGTGTGGCCCCCAGGCTTGGCATTGAGCTGCTGAGTCCAAATTCCAGGAAGACAAACGGCTCTTCTGCCAAAGTTTCAGGCCGCCCCGCACTCCGAGACACCCCGTTGCTTCCTCTAGTAGCCAGGCTGTTCCCAGCCCTGACGGGGGACGCAGGAGCTGGCCGCTGGCCAGAATGCTGCAGGTGAGGCGTGAGGCCCTGGTGGGCATCAGGCCCAGACAACAGAGTGGCAGGTGGGGAGGTCTTGGATGTGGGAGCCCGTCAGCCTCAGCTTCAGGTCCCAGCCCTGCACTCACTACCTGCCTTCAGTTGAGTCCTTGGGAGACAAATTTTAAACCAGAGATTTGTGTGCGGGACATTTAATGGGGCGTGTTCTCAGGAGCCACACCTGTGCGGGAGGGTGGGCAGCTGAGCTGGGCAGAGGGGGTGGGCGTCTCGGCCCATCCCCTGGGGGAGCTCTTGAGCGGGGTGGGCCTCTCACAGAGGTCCCCAGGCAAGGCAAAGACTGTATCTACCAGTTGGTCACTAGATGCAAACTGCTGTCCAGGGAAGGGCCGTGGGCTTGGATGAAGCAGGTCTCTGAGGCCTAGGGCGATAACCAGGGAGGAGCTCTCTGTGAGCTGTCGGTGCCCCTACTCCCAGTCTTGGTCTTAGAGTCTGAAACCGTAGCATCTACTGCAGCTACTATGTGACATCAAGCACGCTGCTTAACCTCCCTGAGCTTCCGCTGTACGAAATGGAGTCGATGGGCTGTTGGGAGGACTGGAGATATTGTATCCAAAGCCCCTGGCCCCAGTCCTGCACTCTCAGAGGTGCCAGGAAATGTTTGTATAGTTGAAAGGATGGGTGAATGTGTTGCTTTGTTATCTGAATGAGCCCTAAAACTCCCTTTCTGGGGGAAAGACCCTGGGGACACAAGCCAGGAGACAGTGGTCTGTCCCACCACTAACTGGTGGTGTGACCACAGGCTGCTGCTCAGTTAAACTCTCTGGACCTTAATTTTTTATCTTGCAAATGGAGATACTAACAGGCCTGTGCTTTCCTTGGAGTGCTGGGGAGGGAGTAGAGGCCAGGAGGTGGGGAAGTGAGAGCTCTGGAAGGAAAGAGAGGCATCAGTCTCCACTGGGGGTGGGGGTGGCAGCAGGTGGCTGCGCGGGAAGGGTCCTGGGTGAGCTGGAGCCCTTGTCTGGCTTTAGGTGCAACCCCGCACCCACATATGCACACATGTGGACACGTACATGTATGTATTTCCTTAACATGCGTTTGCATGGACACACACTCCCCATATGGGCAGAGGCAGATGTGTGTGAATGCATGCACACGTACATGCTTGCACATGCACCCCGCACATCGTGCCTCCCTGAGTGTTTGCGTCCACTCACATGCTCACATCAGAGCAAGAAGAGATTAGGACTGGAGTCTTCTGAGGGCCTCGCTCTGCTCTCAGCTGGTGACCCCATTCTGAGGGCAGAGGAGCAGGGTTGCCAAGAAGCAGCTCAGATGGGGGCCATGTGCGTGAGGTCAGGCGGGCAGGGCGGTCTGTCTGACCCCGTAGGTGCCAGGCTGGGCCAGGCCACATGCTGGGCTGAAGAGTCCAAGCCAACGTTAATGGGCTCCTCAGGGACCAGGGCTGGTCTGCTAAGAGAACGACTGCCAGCTAACCCAGCTTTTCATTTAGTGATTTGTCCCAGAAAACTCCAAACTGCACCCGAGTTAATGGTGTTGAGCGCTGATCAGTGGCATTGAGGGTGCTTTCTATCTTCATCCTTTGTTTTCTCTCATTTTTCTATGGTCAGTATGCATTAGCTTGAATAGTAATCAGGATCATAAATGCAGTTGGTTGAAGACATTTGTTGATGATGTTTGTCTAGCATCCCTTGCCCCCAGGCCCTCACTTGCCCTCCTGTGTTCTTTGTGGCTTGGGTGGAGCTGACAATCATGGAAGCTTGGACCCAAGGCTATGGGGTGGGCATGAGGGCCAGGCCTGGAGAATCAGAGCTCCCCATTTCCAAGTCCCCAGGGATTGTAACATGACCCATGCCGGGCCAATCAGAGGGATTCCTGAAAGCATCTTTGAGCACCTGGATTTAGCCATTCCTAAAGTTGACAGTGCTTTTATTTATTTATTAAAAATATTTATTTATTTACTTATTTAATTTGACCGTGCCGGGTCTTAGTTGCGGCATGTGGGATCTTCTTTGCCGCATGCGGGATCTTCACTGCCGCATGCGGGGTCTAGTTCTCTGACCAGGGATCAAACCCAGGCCCCCTGCATCGGGAGTGCGGAGTCTTAGCCACCAGACCACCAGGGAAGTCCCGATATTGCTGTTATATGAGCCAATAAATTTCCACTGTTCCTTAGACACATATGAATCAGATTTCTGTGATTCACAATGGAAGGAGACTGGACTGATTCTTTTGCTTCTGATCCCTTTTATTGCCCAGATGCAGGTAATAGAAAAGATTTTTCTTTTCTGTCATCTCCTCGTGGCTGGAGACCTGTAGTCTACTTCACCGTAAGGACCCACAGTGGCTGGCATGGACTGAGCCTGACCCAGCACGCAGCAGATACCTGTGGAATTGAGGTAGGATCCACGTTGAAACTCCTTGGTTGCAAGTATCAGAAACCTTAGTTCAAAGCAGCTTTGGCAAAAAGTGCAGCTTATTGGCTTGGGTGTGTGAAAAGTCCGAGAGTGCACAAGCTGACCTGGGGCTCACATGACTTTTTCAGGTGTGGTCTTGACCTTTCTGTTGTTTTCACTCTCAGACTGGCTGTCCTCGTGAGGGGACCCCTGGTCAGATGAAGGCCTTCCAAGTTAGCAGTCTCAGTGGAAAGAGATTTTCTTCCTCTACAAAATTCTGAGTGCCTAGGATTGAGCGTCAGTGGGCGGCTGGGCAGGTGCCTGGGGAACCAGTCCCTAGGGATTCCCTGGACCGGACTGGAACATGCTGTTTGGCCACGTGAGATCATGTGACCTGGAGTGGGCGGGGCGTCAACTGTGGAAGATAATATGGACTGAAAGTGATGGAGAGGTGTGGCTCCCCAGATGAAAATGGGTGCTGTTACCAGAAGAAAGAGGATGGGGTCCCCAACAATTCTATCCCTTTCTTCTGGGTTAACACTACCCCAGGGAAGGCCCCCAAATCCTGGCAACCTGGTTGTCGGGATCTGACCTCTCCCAGAGAAGCTCTTCCTGCAGGGTTCCATCCAGGGGCCTCCCAGCATTTGGTAGGTGCTGGGCCCGCCTTTCCTTCTGCAGAAATGCAACAAAGGAGGCCAGGGAGGGGCATCCCTTGGGGGGCTGGAAGCCGGCCTGCTACAAGGAACCAGGAGCTCTTTCTGGGGGCCATTACATGATTTCCCTCTTCTGTGCCTACAAAAAATATGGTCTTAATACAGCATGTTTAACAACACAGGCAGGATTAAAGGGCAGCCCTAATTGACCAAGGGGTGGGTCTCCACCTGTTTACTCTCCAGAATAATTCCATGCGGCAGGAATGATTAGTTGTGTCCTT